GCGTTCCACACATGCGCACCAGAAATCAAAAATGCAATCTCTCAACTACAAGGACATTTTTGATTTTCTAGCACACGTGAAGTCAGCGAGGTCACACAGTTCGGTCAAAATCGCACAGACGTCTGACAGAATTAGTCACGCAGACGCTTTGGCAGCCCCTCGTGGCTCCTAGGATGCGGAAAGAAGGAAAAATTGCCTGAGCAGTTGTTGCTGTTTTTCAGTTAGCTGCTAAATGAGACAGTCCCATGCTATATGTGACAACATTAGGGATAAACAGAAAAAAAAAACTGCTGCTAGCTGATCGTAAGAGTTGCCATCACACGGCCTGTGTTGTTTCTGATGAGTGTTTCACAGTTGGACATCAGTGCTGCTTGATGATAGCAGTAGCTACTGTGGTCAGCAGCGCCATCAAAAGCCATTCAACTCCTACAGAGCCCCAACGGAAGAACTGCTGCAAATCTGAGAAAAGTTTTTTTTTATTCTTCACAACTGAGTCTTTCTTTTTTATTTCAAATTGCTAGCTAGCTCCACCAAACTCTCCAAATCACCGTGAGTTTATGGCAGCCGCTATCAGGACAAAAATCAATGATGTGACTGTTCAAAAACCTGACTGCAGCTGTCATAAAAAATCCCTCCGAGCTTCTGAAGTGTTGATTTGACTACCACTTGTGAAAATCTTTGTATTTAAATGGAGCCACAAAAACCAAACCGAGGCAAAGAGGGTGGAGCCTTTGGGGGGGGGGGGGGGGGGGGGGGTGCGGGGGGGGGGGGGGGGGGGGGATGAGGAAGTGGAAATCACCACAGCCAGTTGTGAAAGATTGCAACACCTGTCAATCAAGGAATCTAACTCCCTAATGGAGATGATTCTCAAAATAAGACATCAGAGCAAATGACTGGGAGATAAACTGGGATTTTTTATTTTTTTATTTTTTTTAATGAAATCTTATGTTGGTAGAGATTTTCTTCAGCCATTATCTACCAACCTTTTCTCATCATGGTGGTCACTGGAACCCAACCGCCCAGCTGCTCGCGGCGTGAACGTATAGTAAGAAAGCAGTGGTTAATGGTTGACAGTGGCCAAAGCACACAAGTGTCAATGTGGAGGGAAACAACTCGTATGCCTTCCACCGGCCTCCCCTTGATGTGCGGGGTATATATATATATATGTGTGTGTGTGTGCAAGTGTGTGCATGTGCATACATCGTTATCACCTGCAACAAACGCTATGGGCCGCTATCTGGGCTCAATCTGCTCTTGGTTTACTGAGGAGGAGTGCCAAGGGTTATCTGTCCCTCTCTGATATGCACAGATAAGAGCCTTGGGCCCGCTGTTTAAACACCTGGGGCCCGGGGTATTAGAGCGCCCTCCGTCCCCCTTTGCCACAAAAGGAGAGGAAATGGAAGAGTGAGCGCTGGCTGCTGCTGCTGCTGCTGCTGCTGCTGCTGATGATGATGATGGGGGGGAATGTGTGTGAACGGTAATGAACACAGGAGTGTGCGCGCGTGCAGGGGTTAATGCAGGGGTGATTATTTTCCCCACTCGTCCCTTTTACCCCAATACTTCCATCGATGATAAAAAATAAAATGATCAAAAACAGAGAGGGGAGGCGGGGATTCATTGACTTGTTTCATTCATGCACCCCCCGCCCCCTCTGCCCCCCTACAAAAAAAAAAAAAAAAAAAAAAAACCTTTTCTCTACTATGAAAAGACAGAGTTAAAGCATTGATGGTTTTCAGTAATGTTTAACGGCTATATGTTGGAAAAGCTCTCCTTTAAAATAGGCTCTTTTTTCACTTATGTGATGTACATTACAGCGAGGGTCAGTCATTTGCATGAGAATGGACGATTAAGTGAAAGAGATAAACCCAAGGCTAGTTCCCGTGAATTGGATGCTGTGTTTGGAATACCAAGCAGTGGAGGGGTTTTTTTTTTTTTTCTTTCCCCTGCCTCTGCAGAATTAGCCCCCTGCATCATGCATTTATTTTCCCAATAATCACTCAGGCCCTTCCTGTGTTGATTATTTTCTCAGTGCAAGGGTTACTAAAATATTGCTGTAATCCTGTCTCCCTGAAGCCGCAACAACGCTCACCCTGGGCTGCCTTTAAGAAATAAATCTAGGGCTTGTCAGTGGGGAGGTGGTGGTGGGCTGCTGGAGGAGAGACGGGGGAGAAAAGTTGTTTTGGTCAGATGCGGATTGCTTAGATTCAGTAAACGGAAACGGACACCTATAAAGTGTGGCCCTTCGTTTAGTTTCATACGTGTCTTTGGAAGGTTACGTCTAATACGGCTGTATTGAAAATTGTCAATAGTAGAGCCGATACAATTTAGTATATATAGTTTTATTACATCTTAAATAATTAACTTTAAAGAAGTATTCAAATATTAAATGTTGTCTAAATATAGGCAGCTGTGCCCCACATGAAATCGTCCAAAATTAGCAACATTTTGATTTGATTGAGGAGCTATCTGATGAAAAAATTAAGATCTTAATTCATTAAATTAAGAAATTAAGCCCTACTTCAATTGTGCTTACACCTCTTATCAGCACATGTTTCTCCTTCTCCCATAGGCGACTCCTCACAGACCACTTGTGGAGGCAATACAACAATGTATTCAGTCTGGGTGGGTGTTTTTATGATATAACCCAGGGCACAGAGGAATGAAAGGGAGCAAAGACTAAATTTATACAGGAAGTGGGTACTTTCTGCTGCATTCATTTTAACATAGACGCATGCACACAGACACCTCACACCAATGACCTGCACCACATCTGGAAACAATTACACTCATGTTTGACTTGACCTGCCTGCACTATTTGAACTCTGCCAACTTTTTTTTTATGTGTTTGTTGCAGAGGCAGCGGTGACCCTGACACACTGGCTGTGGGGAAATGATGTGTAATTAGTCCGAAGGAACACGACTCCGCTCGTCTGAAATAAAACATCTTGTATTCACATCAAAAGAATCAGCACCTTGACAGGCTAAAAAAAACAAAACAAAAAAAAAGCATGAGCTTGATATGCTATCAAATGACCCACATTGGAATTTGCGAGGACACGAAGAGCGTCTGAATTATCAAGCATCTCAGGGTAGCACAGCAGACCTTTCATGTGCGGATGGCAAAGCAGACAGCGGATGATGCAATGTTTGATTTCTACACTTCAGGAGGCTGTCAGGACAGCGCGTACAATATTAAACAGTGTCGTGTCGGTGTATCAACCAGTTTAAATTAACCCATTAGTATGCTATGGGGCGAAGCGGGAAGATCAATGCATGAAACAGTTTGGAAATCTCCTTTGATACAAGATTTCCCAGCTTGAGCGAATTGATGAAATTCCTCTTGAAACACAGGCAACCATTTCACACGCCAGACTTTTCTCAAGACAGAGACAAGTGTAGCCTGTCCTTTAACACAGTGAGGCTACGTTGCCGCATCTTTCACAGAGGCTATAGTGCATTTTAAAGCTGTTGTTTAAAGCCTGCTTAGGAAGAACTCCAAAAATTCACTTCTACAGTTGCTGTTTTTTAAAATAAAAGAAAAAAAGAAAAGAAAAAAGAAAAGATAAATAGTGTCCATGCAGAAATTCCTCTTTTACACAATGAATAACAAGCACTCATCAGGAAGGTCACACAAATCTGTGCACTTTAAGAAGAAAAAAACTACAACTGACTGATGCAAGTGAACACCAATATATAAAAACTGCACAATATTGTAGTTTAGGGCTGCAAAGGAGGGAACCTCTCTTTGGGGTGATAGCTAGTCTTTCATATTCAGTATTTTCTAAAGACAACATTGAGACAGATTTAGAAACTTAGCAGCTTGGACTGAATCAGTCCAGCTCTTAGCCGTGCATACCAAGATACCGGCTGACGCATGAGGGGACGGGTGATGGGGTTCAAATCCTCATGTGAACTTTAACCACTGTGCATTCCTATTGATTTAAGCAAACATTACAAGGTGAGAAGGTGGCCCTCAAGGTAAGAAAAGGCCTTTAGTCACAAAAACACTGACTGCGCAAAACCCACAAACGAAGTGAAGCAAGTACATTCCACAAGGCTGATAAAAGTGTGACAGATGCAGCAGAGATGTATAAGATGACACGACATGCAATGTGTGGGGAGTTTTGAAAAAAGGTAAGTTTCCAGGCCTTCAGATTTATTTTTATGCACTGATTGAAATAGCGCTGTGCTGGTTTACTGCCACTCCCCTGTCCTAGAACTACCTCCTTGTCTCACAGCCCAGGTCCAGCACTCATTTCCTGAGCTGACCGTTTACTCCAGCTATCAAGCTAATAAGGGCCCCCCTTGTGCAGTTATGAGAAAGGGGAGGGGGGAGCTGGGTCCAGGATAGGGGGGTGGGTGGGGGGGGGGACCACTTTGGTAAGTGCGTGATAGCTGCCGCCCACATCTCGTAAGGTGTGACTAATTGTCTTAGACAATGTTACGACAGCACTGCTTCGGCAGTCACCTGGACAGGCTTGGCAGTTATTGAAGGGGTGGATGTCTGGGCCTGAGCTGCCAGACACACAGAGCTAAGGTTCGTGTCCATCAAAGGATGTCACGTACTCATATATAACAGATGTATGGATGGGTGATTTTACTTAGTTGTCATGATCACGGACATTCAAAATGAGTGACTATATGTGGGGTTTTTTTTCTCCGTGTCAAAAAAAGGCGACTTACAACTGTTAAAGGTTTATAATTTAGTCCCTGTTACCCCTAGCAATTAGCAATTAAGTATTATGTATAATTTGTAAGGTGTTTTGAAATTCTGAGCCCTTATGTCTTAAGACTTTCACTTTCAGTTGCATATAGAGGAAACTGCCAAAGAACTCTTGCATAAACCATTAAAATGTGAGTCATTGAAATTAAAAAAAAATAAAAGTAAATAAAAATAAAAGTAAAAAAAAAAGCTGTTGAGCTGGAAGGCTGACAAGGACCATAAATTTCAAGGCCAAAACAATAAGCAAGCAGCTACTCAAAAAGAAAACTTGGCTTACCTGTGCTGCTCCACAGCTTCGTTGTCTGGCAATTCTGCACCGCAAACATTGCAGCGCTCGTGCTGGTTCCTGCCGTCTGGTTTCATGCCCACTGCCAGCTCCCCGAGCTTGCTGAAGAATTCTCTCTGGATGAAGCTCTGAGGCAGGAGTCCCCCGTAGGCACTGAAGTCCATAGACATAGCCAGGGCTGGGGACATGGGGAGAGCGGAGGCCATGGATGCCGGCATTGACATGATGGCATCTGATTTGTGATTGACAGGTAGGGCGTAAAGCGAGGCCAGGTGTTTCTCCGTCATTCCAGCCATTGCTTCCAGCCCCATCTGGCTGACTTCAGCTTGATGGTCACCCATGCCTTCGTCGCGGACGTAATGCAGCTCGCGGGCACTGGTGATTACGCTGCTCCTGGTCGGTGTTCCGGGACCATCTCGGTTCCTGTCCTCCCCGCTTCGCTCTCCGTTGCTGGAGGCACTGGACTCCATGTTCTGGGGGCTGTCGTGGCCGTTGCCGCCCATGTCCACTTGCATCATTTCAGTCTTGATCTCAGTCATCAGGTGGTGGGAGTTGCCATGGACAATTTGTTCAGCGCCGAAGCCCTGCTGGAGCAGAGACTGGCCGATGCTCATCAGGCTGTCCACAGCAGCTTTGGTGGGACTCAGGGTGGAGACGCCGAAGGAAGTGGAGACCGAGGGACTCTGGTCCACCATGCCGGACATGGTGGAGACCTGCTGGGTACCTGACAGATAGGGGCTCTCCGTGGAATGCTGTTTTGAGTTCTTGGCTCCATTGTGGCCTTTGCGCTCGTCATCCTCCTCTGTGCTCCCGTCATTAACGTTAACCTCCACGTCATTCTCATCCGAGGACTGGATCGTTTCCAGGATCTTGAGGCATTGCTCCTCCAAGTACTCAATTTCCAGGATCTCCGCTGCATACAGAAGGTCATCTAAGTCCTCCACCTTGGCCTGTAGCGTGGCAGTGTAAGCATACTCCAAAATCTGCTGAAAAGTCTTTGGTGAAAGAAAGTCCAGGGTGTAATGCTGGCTGCTGCGGTGGAAGAGGATCTCAAACATTTTGCTGGTGCAGGCTAGCACAGTCCGGTGAGCGTGGAACTCCTGGCTGTCTACCATGATGACCACGTCACACAGAGTCCCGGCCAGACGCATCTGGTTGGCCTTCTGCAGCAGGGCAGTGGGGTGGTTGGGGTTCTGGAGCTGGATCATACCCATTTTAGTTAAATCCATTATGTCGATGCAATCCACGAGGCCGACTCATGAGGCTCGCCTTCCCCGCTCAGCAGTGTTTTTAGCTATCTTTGTAAACAAGATGAAACCTAGATGGTGAAACAGAATGAAAAAGAAAAAATCAGTCATGGTAACTTCTGACGCAACAGCTAACATATTTTCCACACCAACTCTATTTGTCGTTACACTAATCCAACAAAATTCTCCTTATCCTCTTTTTATTTGCAAAAAAGTGAATGAATGAATGAATTTTCTCTTTTAACAGAGCACAAAAAACGTGTATGATTCCCCAACTGTCGTCTTTCACAATAGTATGCAAAGCACATTCATTAATTACATCCTGAAAATAAAAATGCAATTAATTTGTCAACATATTTATTCAGAGTATACCTCTATTTATTATTGTAAATGGTGAGTGCGAAGTGAGTGGAGTTTCAAATTGTGAAATATCCTGCAGGGACGGTAAACACACTGTGCAGTGGCTTTGTTCTTAAAAATCAGTGGATGGTACGGACTGTAGATTTCTGAGGGGAGACAATTTGTGAGCCGTCCAACAAGCTCACCCTGCATACCAATCAGTCCAACATATGTTATGTTAAAAAGATGTCTTCATTTGGTTATCTGATGGGGATGTACACCGGTTAAACAAGTGTGAATTGTGGTTTTTTTTACTGCTGCTTGGCTCACAAAGACCGTCAGCAGCCTTTCTGAAATTAAATAGCATCTTACTCAGTATTCCCATCACAGACGGGAGCAGAGAGCAGCGGCCAGAAATGGGTGGAAAGGAAAGCAGGATGAGGCACAGGCAAACACAAACGCTGCCGCACCAAACACCCTGCTCTGCTCTCGGTCACTCATGTCGAAAAATCCTAAATGAGGGATTGTCTCTGTGACTGTTGTTAACTCAATTATTCAAGTGAACAGGGCAACATGTTGCTCCACCTCGTATCTACATTATAGTTTAACCTGAACTATAATAACAATGAAAGGCTTAAATTAAATGAAACACTTTCACCACTATTTGCACTTTACATGAAACATCATGTCTGTGACTCCTGTTTCACACGATCCTTTCGACTTCACAGAGAAATATCTCCACCTCATGTTGTGACCTACACTTGAAATTATACTCTTCATTATTCTAATTAAATAAACAGTCTTGGCACCACATTATATTATAGTTGAATGAATGAATGAATGACTACCAGACCAGCCAAGCGCCTCCACTGACCCACATTCTGCATGAGCTTATTGACGGCCAATTTCTGTCTACTCAATCTAGTCAATATATCAGGTTTACAGCTCATTCTGTCCTCTTCATCTTGATTTATTTTCTCTTTAGTCATTTTTCATTTTAATTTTGAAAAACTTCATTTTTTTTAATTTTTGGAATCTTTTTTCAAAAGAGCTTCGTTTTTATTTTAACAAACAAATAATGGGGAGGGAGAAGTTTCTGAGCACTTCTTTTCCTTCCTCCCAGCCTGAGAACAATACACGCACAGACAGAAAAAAAAAGAGCAAATATCATCAGCCTTCCAAGTAGATGACGACTTTAAAATAATAATAATAATATCAACAACTCCCAGATATGTGAGATCGCTGCAAAAGCACACAATCACACAAGCCTAAACCAAAATATGCAGAAGGTAAATGGTGCTGGCAGCTATTGTTTGCGGCGAGGATCATGGAAAATAAATAATCCAGCCCGGCTTTTGGGTCACTGGACAGTTTGTCTTTTCGGCACATTGACAAGATCGATATAGGATAGGTAATGATGAAACCACAGGTTCTCATTTAACTGAGCTCTGCCTCTCAGTCAACAGAGGTCATGCCTAAAACCCGACATTATCTTTATTACAGGTATGCCAATAGCTGCGATTTATGGCCCCGTCAATGATCAATGCTTGTTGCGCTCTGTGGGCAATCAGCCGAGCCGTGGCTTCACTGGGACACAATGCAAAGTTGCTGTTTGGAGACTTTATCACCCCAGTTAGCTCTCTATTAATATGGGGAAGGTCTGCGTGCGTCTAGACAGTGTTAATGTTGGCCAGCCGCACCAGACAAATTACACACAGCGTTATACATTATGCAAAAAAACATCGCGCACTACATTAAGTACATTAAGCCAGGAGAGATTTTCTCCCTGGAGGACAATGTCGACCGCTGACAATAACCACATTAGGCCGACTTCAGCGAAAGGCAGCATAATCAATCTGATCACGAGTTGTCTGCCGTAGCGCGCCTTGGCGACCCAGCCACAACAAGAATAAACAGCGTTCAATATTCCAGACCATGAGCCACACTGACAGACACAAATGTGCACGGAGCAAAATGGTTCAGCGTCTCTAAGGGGGACAATCGGGGACATCGAGCGTGCTAAAAAGTACACACGAGACAGACAGCTGCCAGGATCTCTCGCCGATTCAAGGCAGCTCTGCTCTGATCAACGCACAGGTGGACTTTGTTTGAGGCTGGGTGAAATACTCAAATCCCGGTTTGTTACAATTCGGGAGAAAGGTGGTGATCTGCGGGAAGCTGCCTAAAGGATAAAGAGGAAAAAAAGTGAAAGGGGGTGGGAGGGTGGGGGGGGAGAGAGATCAGGCAGTCTCGATAACAAATCAATTTGCCATCGCATCTGTTACCAGTTCCCCACCTCACAGTATGCTGCGCGTGGGACTGCAAGCCGATTATTGGTAACCAATCAAACATCCAGATGCCTGTCAATCAAATGCAGTGTGAGTGTACAGTGCCTGGATTCGGGCTTGTTTCGAGTATAGAGACCAATGTCTCCAGTCCTCATCATGATGTCATCACGGCTAAATGAGCCACACTGGTGTGTCTGGATACACAAGGACGGGCAAGAGTGCCGCTGCCTAAAAATTGCATAATTTCCATCAAAACGAGCAAACGCGATTTCTCCAGTAAAGTCACATGGAGCGAGGCGTCATATGTTGTCTGGCTCCCGGTGAAACAGCCAGACCTCACGTCCTCTGGCTGCGATCTCCAGCATACTAAACCAGACCGAGAGGGGGGGTTGCGTCAACCTTAACATCTCTACAATAGGCTACCGTGCGTAAATGCAAACTTCAACACCTTGCAGCGCAATCAGGTAAACACTTGTTTCCATCCAGCACTCCGGTGCGCAGATCCAACTTGCGTGCCAAAGTCGCGTTTACTGTTAACTTCAGCATGAGGTTGAACGGGGACAAGCCAAACGTTCCCCAGCGCAATACATGCATCAAAACATCCATATGGTGAATGAAAGTACACAGAGAAAACACAGACGCATGCAGAGTGGCGGGTCTGGCACTTGTCGCCGGGAAATTGCAGCTCCGTTTAGCCCGGATTGGTACTCACCTAAGTTGCACGTTTTGATTCCGTATAGTGTAGGGGGACTGGGGCTACAGCATAGTAAGGCAGTTCGCAGTACCCGCTCTCTCAACACGCACTAACTCCTTTCTTCTCTCGCCTTAGCAAATCATCACGGCGCTGACGTCAACGCAGCCAGTCAGCCAGACGAGCAGCAGGCAGACGGGCAGCCGCTGCTGCGCTCCAGCCCATACAAACACTGAGAAAGTGAGACACCTAGGGGGCTGTCTCATGTCAAACGGCTGTGTTACAGTATGGCAGTGAAAGGTGAGCGACACTGCCCTCCCTCCAGCTGTGTGAATGCACATACAGCCTACAGTTGTCCTCAAACTGCAGCCAGGGGCAGACTTAATAGTTTGGTGGGCCTGTAAGGAAAAAGTAAAATGTGGGTACTCCTGAAACACCCCACCCCCTGTAACCGTTTTCAATCTATTCACTCTATAAGTTTAAGTGGCAGCACAGATATGAATGCAAATGTTAGCTGGACAGTAGGATGCACATGATCCATGAAGGTGCTTCAAAAAAAAAAAAATATATATATATATAAATTCTGTATATTTGAAATCAGATGGAAAAAAAAGCAATCATGCAAAAACCTGACCCATGCAGGTTTAGGTTCTATTATCACAAGCCAAAAACATGTGTGGTTCAACAGGTTAAAACAATTCATTGTCGTAATGTACTATGAAGTGGGAGCAACCACATTTTGTACTGTTGTATTTATTTATATGCTTGTATTTCTATGCTAGCACCGTATCAGTACCTCCTACTCCCTGTTATGCATCTTTCCCTTTTCAATTGAGTACGTGAACCAACAGTTTCTTTCTCAATTCAGGCTACGACCTCTCTGACGACTGTTAAAGAACTGCAAAGTCCTGACAGACAGTGGGGAAAACAGATCATATAATCAATAATTAATGTTTGGAACCATCACCCCTGGCAGTGTTCAACCTGGAATAGAGCATCCACACTTCAGCAATGGTCAGGTGACAGACAGGTACCTCAGCCAGAAACCTGGACAGACGCCAGAGCCATGTTAACGGGCCATATGACCACATAATGCAACCACACAGGCGAGGGTAGAGCCCCCCCCCCCGCAGTGCCAGCCAACGGCACGGAGGCGTCACTGAACATTAGTATGATCACACATAAACATTCGCTCCACACATACACATTTAATGTAACTTAAGATGCCAGATTTCATCCATTTAAAAGAGGTGTGTAATGTGTGTGATAACACACACTCTGGCCAAGTGGGTTTGCATTAATTTACAAACTCTTCTCGTCTTTTATTGAATTGTATTTTCTTGAAAAAGAATTCGATTATATTTCTGATCTCAAGAAATTTTCTAGAATCAGATGCAGTTCTCTCGACTCTCCTGCTGAAGCAGTCCTGTTTGAAAATACTGACACTAATTTGAGGAAAACCCATGAAACAAAAGACACGGCGCAGGGAATAAGTGGTTCCTGTTTTATAGAAAGTACATTCTTAATGATCAGCGGAGTAAATGACTTCCAGCAGGATGGTTTTGCAGTGCATTAACAGCCCTTGATTGTCAGCATTGCTCTAATTTTCCCTTTTGCTCTTTCTGTTGACCAATAACCAGGGATGCAGTGGATGGTACACCTTT